ATCAATATGATTCCTAGTATCCTTTTTATAATTTTTTTCTTGACCATGGAGGATTTAAGAACGCCGGAAGTTCGCTCACCGTTCTCGGATGACCCTCGGATCTCCGCCTTTGGGTTGAGGTCTCGGCCAAATTTCTTCACAGATTTTGAGCGTAATCCTCTGTAGATTAACATACTCAAATTTCAGGCTCTAACTCTTACTGTATCTAACAGATCTAAAGCAATTTCGAGAATCTGGATTCAAGAACTTTACCTTTAGATTTTTCCTCGTTTCTGGATGGTTTTGGACGATCTAAAAGTTAAGAATGTTCTTCTCTAAGTTCTGTGAAGATTTCATGAAGGCTCGACCGGAACCGGACTCCTCGTGGCCGGAGCGGCGGTTACCTCCCTCTCTCTCTAGAACTTTCCTTCTCTCTCTATAATTTTCTCTCTCACTATTTACATTCTTTTCTTTCCGCACTTTCTCCTTCTCTTCCTTTTCCCCTTTATTTTTTTCCTTTTTCTCTTTTATTCGTATGTTACTAAAAAGGAGGTATAATGACCAAATTACCCTCCAGGGATTTACCTGGACCATCCTTTTAGTTTTCTATCATTTTTCCTTTATATTTTTCTTCCGTTCTTTTATTCCTCATCATTTTTCTCTTCCGTCTCATCTCGGATTTTGGTCTTTAAGACCTTCAATAAAATTGAGAGAGATCGACTTTTAAGGTAAACTTAGATTTTAAACTTTCAATTGAGGCTCGGGTATTACAATAATAATAATAATAATAATGGTAATTATGTTCTTAATTACCGGTACTAATGTGATCTTACCGACACTAATGCATCGGATCCAAATACAGTAGTTAAGCATGTTGTTTGAGATAGAGTAGTGCTAGTTAGGGAAGTACGTGGCTCCCTTCATAACATGCAAAACCATTTTAGCTGTACTACCTGCGGCGTTCTTCCTTTTTTTTTTTTTTTTTTTTTTTTTTTTCCTTCTTTTTTTTGGTGTTGTGTACATAGCAGCATGAATCGAATCAAACATTTCCCAGCTGCAAGAGGTTGCTGTGTGGCTCTTTTTAGCTCTAAAAAGAAACAGCGTCGTAAACCCATGTTAATTCTCACAATCTTTAACATGCATCAGAAAGAAAGAGTTATCTGATATCACGGATGTTTTGTGCGGTGTGCAGACCTATAATCTTTTCCTCCTGCTTCTGCTTCTGCTTCTTCTTTCCTTCGTGATCTAAATATTTGTTTTATGTAGTACATTGTTTACGGGGTGGATGCCAACAATTCTTAGGGCTGGTAGAGGAATGACATTGTGGGGAAAGGCCTCGACAGACCCACCGCCAAAAAAGTTGGAACTTTTCTCATACGAAAACAATCCGGTACAGTGATGAGCTATCCTCCCTATATTACACATGCCTGTGGTGTGTTTATCTCACCTTTTCAATTTCATTTATAACCTCAGTTAAAGACTAGGCTGCTGAGACCGTTATTAGCAGCTGAATTACTCTGCTTTGATCGTTCTTGTATGTCAGTTTGCTTAATCTGGTGGTGCTGACAATTATTAGGAGTGTAAACTTTAGTATTTTGTTATACTTCTGATGTATTGAGGTAAAATAAATATTGCTCATCCTTCCAGTATGCTCGAATTGTGCGCGAGGCATTATGTGAGTTGGAGCTTCCTTACATCCTTCATAACGTGGGAGAAGGATCTCTACGGACAAAGCTACTTCTTGACGTTTCCGGATCAAAAGAGGTTCGGTACTGACTGCACAACCCACATTACTGTTTACTATGATAATTATGGATTTATGGTTCCGTCTGAATGAATTTCTGCATGCTCTTGAGGTCATGTTGTTATTTATTACAGTACTATTTACTATGGTAGTTTTCTTTCCCATGTGTTGTCAACCTCAGCCTCAACTTCAAACTTTTTCTTCCAAGTTTCAACTACCCTTTTTTTGCAACCCCGAGACTTTATTTGTCGTAAAGCTAGTCGATCATTTACTAGCTTGGAAATTCCCTGTTCTGCATAAGAAATTCCTTTAAACCTCCATTTATTTTGTATTCCAATCAGTTTTCTTTGAAACCGAAAAAATCCATTTGCACCCCTTTTTTTGGGGGTGTAGAAATCATTTCCCACTGCCTCGAATTCGTCCTCCTCTTCCAACGATATGAACACAACCCTCCAGAGGCCTCTTTCACACTTTCGTAATCAATTTTTATGGGCATGGGTGGCGGATTTTTTTTATGGAAAACCGAGATTGCTTGGTCATAAAAATTTCCACGAAGAGTACACATGTATTTCAGTAAACATGAATTTTTCATTGAGACATTTGAACAGCTACAAGCTTAGTAACATCCTATTAAAAAACATGGCAACATATCATACCATTTCACTCAATTTGAGCAAACTCATTCTTTCTCCACCCACCTACTATCAAGCTTTTCTTTTTTAATATCTGGTTCTGCTTATCCGTAGGAACCGACACTGCCTCCGTGTTTGAAATCTTCAGTTCACCCACTGTGTTGCAGTTTCATCCCCAAGCATAACCGAACTTTCTTTGAAACCTAAAAACCAAATAAAGCGTAAGTGAAGGGTAAAAATATAACTTTTTGAAAACAATTAGAAACAATTAGAAATTAAACTCAAACTTCAAGAGTAAAAATGTAACATTTTGAAACCGAGGCACCAAATGAAAATTAAACACAAAATTTGAAGGTAAAAATGTAACTTTTTGAAGCCTAGGAACCAAATAGAGATTAAACTCAAACATCAACGGGAAAAATGTAATCTTTCGATACCTTTCATTTTGAAACCTAGGAACCAAATAGAAATTGAAATTAAATCTAAAAGTTAAAAAATGTAACTTTTTGAAACTTATGATGAAAATTAAACTCAAACTTCAAGGGTAGAAAAAGTAATTGCAAGAAAACTAGGGGACAAAAAGAGAATTTTTCGTTAAAAATATAAAAGAATGTAAAAAAATGCATGGTTAAGGAGAGATGATAAAAGTGTTAATGAGATTTACAGAATCGGCGGATCCAGATGGATCAATCAAGATAATCCTTGTTATGGGGAGCCTTCTGTTGGATTTCTTGTTGATCTTCCTTGTTATGGGGAGCCTTCTGTTGGATTTCTTGTTGATCTTGTGTTGTATGATTTATGTGTTACGTTTATTCCTATCGTTTATGTACATTGCACATTGACTGTTATCTCTCCCTTGTCTACACACTATTAATTAAATATCGAAATCCTAAATATCAGGTACCCTACTTTATTGATCCCAATACTGGTATTGAAACTGGCAACTACAAGCAGATTTTGTCTCATATATTCCAGACGTATTCTGCAGCTACCCTATAGTCTTCATGTCTGATACCATTAAATTTCTTACCCGTGAAGCAACAGAAGACTTTGTTAAACATGCTTTTAAGGCTGTAGGATACTCTTTTATAAACTAAGGTATTCACTGTATCCTAAAATTATCATATCCTAAGTCCCTATTGATGAATATGTCTAATGTATTATTATGTTACATAACCAACAAAAGAGCTTAGATGCTAGATGGACCAATATCTCCAATCAGATCCCCTATCAACCAAGGAGTTATGAGGGTGAAAATGTAGAGGCAAGGAATTAAGAGCTTAGATGCTAGATGGACCAATATCTCCAATCAGATCCCCTATCAACCAAGGAGTTATTAGGGTGAAAATGTAGAGGCAAGGAATTAAGAGCTTAGATGCTAGATGGACCAATATCTCCAATCAGATCCCCTATCAACCAAGGAGTTATGAGGGTGAAAATGTAGAGGCAAGGAATTAAGAGCTTA